GTAGGGAAACTGCAGCTTCTTTGCCCACCAGCTCCCCAAGAGATTGCCAAAAATTTAAAATGTCTCTCAGTGGCAAGGGTGAGGGATAAAGGTGGGCAGTTTGACAACATCTAGAGAGATGCCTTGCGCACGGTAGTCCCACAATTAGGTGTTGAGCAATTCCCACTCATGAAGAATCCACTGCAGCAAAACATTGGCCACAACCGAACCGCCCGTCCACAGGGGCATAAATAAATCGGCAGTTGTGTGTTCATACAATAGAATATTACACAAGGTTAAAAAAAAAGAAGGAACTAGAGTTATATGCATTTAACTGAAAGGACAGCTTATCACTTGCCAGCCCTGCGACCCCATGGAGTAGGTGCCATCACGACACCCATCGTACAGGTGAGGAAACAGAGTCGTGGAGAAGTGAAGTGACTTGCTCAGCCAGCTAGGAAGGAACGCAGCCAAAAAGCAGGCTGTGAGAAGGTGTTTGCTGTATGTATGTATATGTGCAGTCTTTCTGGTTGTAGGAAGCTAACACATGTGAAAACAATATAGCATTAGGGAGTCCCACCTGTATAGCTAAGGTGTAAAGGCATACTTAGGAACTACTAACTAAAGGCTCCTCTGACAAAGGGAAGGGATGTGATTGGGCCTCGCAAGGGCTGTAACTCTGCCATGGTGCTTCCTTTTTTTCGATGTATATTTTAATTAAAAAATCGCATCAGTCGCACACTAATGGATCATGAATGAGAATGTGGCCATATCTTGGAGCACATTTTGAGTACACACGGACCCAGGGCGTATGCCTGCACTTGGTGGGCTGACATTTTAACAGGAAGACAGCTTCAATTTGTGTTCTCGATGGAGTCCTAAAACCCAGCATCTTGGAAAGAAATCTTCACAGCACTGTCATTACTCAGTTCTCCCCATATCTCTCAAGGTGGCGAGGATGGTTATGAGCCTTCCTGGACGTGGGATACACCTTCAGGAGAGGTCCCAGCCAAGGGGACCCCCACCGCAGGCATACCTGGACCCCCTGGCACCGCTGGCACCATCAGGAGCCCAGGCCATCCCTCTCTGGCTCCAAGGGTCCGTGGGGATACAGGTGAGGCAGGCATGTGGCTGGGGCGAGGGGACCAGGGTGTTTGTGTGGTGGGATGGAGAGGTGGACTCCAGATTTCCCCATGGTGACCCAACTCTCACCCTAGAAAGACCAGGCAGAAATATATCCTGAGACGAGGGGTTATTATCTATACCAGTGGTCTTCAACTGGGGGCAACTGGCAACATCTGAAGACATTTTGGGTTGTCATGACTGGGAGCAGGGAGGCTACTGGTACCTGGTGGGTAGAGGCCAGGGATGTTGTTACACATCCTCCGGTGCACAAGGTATCCCCCACAGCAAAGAATCATCCAGCCCCAGATGTCAGCAGTGCCATGGGTGAGAAACCCTAACCTATACCATGTAAGTCACTCTGACAAATAAGAAAATGATAGGAAATCCTATAAGAGAATGGGCAAAAGATACAAACAAGGTGATTTGCAGAAGAGGAAGCCCAAATGCCCAACGAGTATACCTGGAAGTGCTCACATTCATAATGAATCAGAAAATTCAAATTAAAACAATGACGAGCATGGAAAAAACTTTGAAAGGTAAATAATACCAAGTGTAGGTGAGGGTGTGGGGAGACAGGCATCCCCACTGGCTGTAGCAATTTGATAAACACAACCTAGTGGTGTTTAGTGAAATTAAATATGATTATACGTTATCACCCAGCAATCCTGCTCCTAGATCTATATTCCAGAGAAATTCTTGCACAGGCTTATAAGGGAATATGTGTGAGGATGTATTAGGGAATTGGAGGCAAGTTAAGTGTCCAACAGTAGAGTAACAAGGAAGAGAAATGCAATGGTTACACGTGATGGAATTTTATGCAATAGCTAAAGCAATGACAAGCTATATACACAGCAACATGGATAGGTATGAAAAACATAATACTGAGGGGAAGGTCAAACAGAATGAGATTTCCAGCAGAATATTATTTGCAGAAATTAAAAGCACAAACACAAAAATACACATACACTTATATATTTACATAAACACATCTATGCATTCCGTATTGTTTAAGATCACACATATGTTTAAGGCCATATGTGAAACACACTAGAGTGGAGGTACCTATGGGAGAGGACGAGGGGATGGAGCTTGGGGTTAAAGAGGAGAAAAAGTAAAACAAGAGAAGACATTGCAGGGACTATTAATGACAACGTACAGTGGGGTATGAGTAGCTTAGCTCTCTGCACCTTGGGTCTGAAAAATTAAAAATCAATACCACTCTAGGTTACTGAGTCCTTGTTCTATCGAACTAAGCTGAGATTCTTGAAATAATAACTAGGCACAGTTAACATTTATCAAGCAACATACCATGTGTCAGGCACTATTTTATGCACTTTATATGTATTATGCTTTAACATATTTATATGTGTTAATCCTCGTAGCAGCCACATGAGCCCTACATGAATGATGTAAGTGCTATAATTGTTCCCATTTCACAGATAAGAGAAATTGAGGCACAGACATCAATGACTATGGCAGTATGAATAATCATGAGAATGCTTATCACGTGCTAGGCATTGTGTAAGTGCTCTGCACACACACTTTCTCTCTGAATCCTCATGATTACTCTACAAGGGAGGTATGTGGATCATCCATGGTTTACAAATGGGGAAGAAACTGAGATTCAAGGCAGTTAAGTAACTTGCCCATGATTACCCAGCTAGGAAGTAATGGAGCTGGGGTTTAAATCCAGGCAGCCTGGCTGGAGGCCAAGCCCTTTACTTAACTGCTCCTCTGACCCTGCAGAGGGGCACGATGCACCTCAAAGACCTTGCAGAAAAGTGGAATTCTGTTGAGCTGTGCCGTTCCATATGGTAGCTACTGACACAGGTGGCTATTTAAATTTAAGTGAATCAAAAATTTGAAAAAGGAAGGACCTACTGTATAGCACATGGAATATACTCAATATTTTATAATAATCTATAAGGGAAATAATCTATAAGTCTGAAACAGAATATATGTGTGTGTGTATGTATATGTATCTGAATCACTCAGCTGTACACCTGAAACTAACACAACATTGTAAATCAACTATACTCCAATTTAAAAATTTTTTAAAAAGAAATCCATTCAAAGGTAAAAAAAAAAAAATTGGAAAAGGAAACACTCATTCCTTAGTTGAACTAGCTACATTTCGAGTGCTCAGAAGACACAGGTGACCAGTGGCTACCATATTGGACAGCACAGAACACTTCCATGACTGAGAAAGTGATACTGAATGGCCTAGACTCTGTATGTAAAGGGCTTGGGTTCAGATCTTGTCCCTGCAACTTTCAAACTGTGTGTGACCTCGGGCAAGTTACTTACCCTCTTGGCCGTATTTCTCTCATCTGTAAAAAGAGCTTAAAATTCACATTTACCTGGAAGCAGGGCCTGGAAGAGGGTAAGCCTTCTTATTTTACTCGGGCCTAAAATTTGGGGCATTCCAAACCCTTAGTAATGAAGGTAAATAAGATCTTAATACCATAGGTTAAAAAACAAATGAATGCAAAAACAATCCATGATGAACTAAGTAAAATTTTAACTAAAGTCAGGATCTGACCTACCTCACCAGGATCTGACAGAGCCAATTTTAGGGGGAATTCCAGTGAGGTAGGTCGGATCCTGTCTTGGATTAAAATGTTGACTTTTTGTTCATTGTAGATCTTTTGTATTAATTTTGATTGTTTAAAAATATGGCGTAAAGAGATTTGTCTTGATTACTGAGATTACCCTTCAGATTCCCCCTCATGCTATGCACCGTCTCCCACTCCCCTCCCCCTCTTTATCTCCCTTCATCCCATCTCTGCCTTTCGGCCCCCTCTTGCATCCCAGGTACCCCTCCACATCCCCCCTCCCCCCTGCCCGCCCATCTCCGCATCTCCCAGAGGGGAGGACGCCAGGTGGCGCCTGGAGACATCGGAGGAAGCGTGGAGGTGGGGCACTAGGGCGGATGAAGTCTGCCGGCGACCCATGACGTCACAAAGCTTTATGCCTTCCCATTGGTCGGCCTACCCCTAGGAGGCGGACCATGCCGCGGGGTGGGCGGAGCAGACTGACCTCCGCTGGCCGTCTTTCCTCCAACAGGTTCCCTGAGGAAACCGTGGCCCGAGCGACGGCTGCGGCCCACAGCGGCCAGGACTGCGCCCCCCACCACTTCCCCAGCTCCCTCCGCCTCGCCGGGGCCGCCGGGCCCTGTCCTGACCTCTGACTCCGCGCCGCAGCTCATCCCCACAGCAGCTTCAACGCCGGAGGTGACCTCTGACCCTCCCGCCACTTTGCCGCCCAGCCCAGACCCGGCCTCCTGGATGAACTCTCACCGCACCTTGACAACCCCTGGCCTTACTTTGTCCACCCCTGATGCCACCGTGTTTCCAGCGCTGACCCCTGGGCTTTCACCCACTCCACCACCCACCATGCCCAAAGAACTGACCTCTGACCCCTCTGCACCGGCGGTGGTGACCCGCCTTTCCCCTACCTCACAGCTGACACCAGAGTCTGACACAACCCCAGTCTGGGACACATCTCCATACCCCAACACACCTCCAGAACCTTTTAGTTTCCCAGACCCTTCCACAAGTTCTCACCCCACTACCATCCCTCACTCCACCATGACCTCTCACCCTACCACGACCTCTCACCCCACTACCACCCTTTACCCCACCACAACCCCTCACTCCAAGACCTCTCACCCCACCACAACCCCTTATCCCACCACGACCTCTCACCCCACTGCCACCCCCTACCCCCCCCCCCCCCCACCACGCCCGCGCGACCTGCTGCTGTCCCTCCTTCAGTGCCGCCCCAGATGAATGTGTAGTTAACCAGAGTCGTCAGTGCTTTCTTCCACCTTCATTTCAGCAGTCTGGTCTCCACTCTTCCTGCCCCCACCCCCACCCCTCACTCTACCTCAACCCCTCACCCCACCACGACCCCTCCTCCCATCACCACTGCTCAACCTATCACAACCCCTTACCCAACCACAACCCCTCAACCCAGGACGACCCCTCAACCCACCACGACCCCTTATTCCACCACGACCTCTCACCCCACCACAACCCCTTATCCCACCATGGCCTCTCACCCCACTGCCACCCCTTACCCCACCCCCACCCCTCACTCTACCTCAACCCCTCACCCCACCACAGCCCCTCCTCCCATCACCAGTGCTCAACCTATCACAACCCCTTACCCAACCACAAGCCCTCACCCCACCACGACCCCGCAACCCACCACAACTCCTCCTTCCATCACCAGTGCTCAACCCATCACAACCCCTTACCCTGCCACGACCCCTCACCTCACCACCACTGCTTACCCCACCATGACTCCTCACCCCACCTCAACCCCTATGGTCACTGCCAAGTCCCTTCTAACTTCCTTGGGAACAGAACTTCCCTTTCCCTCTTCAGCACCAACAGTCAAGCCCAGCCCACACCCCCGGTTGACATTCACGGGGGCCCCTCACCCCTCCACATCCCAGATGTGGAGCCTAGAGCCCTGTCCAGCAACAGAGTCCAGCCCCTGCAGGCCCTCTCCAGCCCCCAGCATAGACACACTGTCCACTGAGAACTTCAAACCACCCACAAGCCAGAGCCCCAAAGTAACCTCTCCACCTACCCAGACTCCACACTCAGCCTCTGACCCCACTGTGACCCCTGACCTCCACCTGTCCCCTATGGCCCCCACCTTGGATCAACCTCCCCCTGACTGCCTCACCCTAGGGCCAACTCCTGGTCAGAGCCCAGGCCCCCTTGGCCCATGTGAAGCCCCAGTGCCACCTGTAAGGGTCATGGCTTGTGATCCGCCTGCCCTGGTAGAGCTGGTGGCCGCTGTGAGGGATGTGGGTAGCCAGCTACAGAGGCTGACACAGGCTCTGGAGCGGGACCAGCAGGAGCGCCACGCCCTGGGACTGGGGTTGACCCAGCTGGTGGAGGCTGCCCAGGGTCTGGGGCAGCTGGGTGAGGTTGTAAAGAGACTGGCAGAGGTGGCCTGGCCCCCCAGCACACCTGCACCAACCACTACTACCCCAGAGGAGGAAGAGAGGCCTCTGCGGGGAGATGTGTGACCTTATCTGGGGTCTGAGGGACTTATGACACTCCCAAACCCAAACAGGAAAACCGAAGTATCTAATTAAAAACAAAATGTGAATGATGTTTCTGGGGGACTAGAGGAGGTGGAATCACAAGACTGATCTGTTTGTGAATACAACAGGCACCGTGTGAGGTGGTGAGGATGGTGAAGACGATGGTGATAGTGGTGATGAGTATGATGGTGATTATGATGGTGAAGATGAGAATGGTGATAGTGATGGTGAGGATGATTATGATGATAATGGTGGTGGTGATGAAGGTGACCATGATGGTGGTGATGGTAATGAAGATCATGGTGATGCCTATTCTGATGGTAATGTGATAGTAATGATGAAAGTGATGATAATGATTGTGATGGTGCTGATGATGGTGGTGATGATGATGGAGATGATGGTGATGATGGAGATGATGGTGATGATGGTGATGATGATGGTCATGAAGATCATGGTAATGACTATTGTAATGATGGTGATGATGATAATGGTGATGATGGAGATGATGGTGATGAAGATGATCAGGGTGATGATGGCAGTGATGATCATGATGGTGATGATCATGATGGCAGTGATAATGGCTATGATGAAGCCCCACGAGGGCAGAAATCTTTGTCTTGTTCACAGATGTATGCCCAGCTCCTAGAACAGAGCCTGACACCGAGTGCACCCTCCATTAATATTTTTTGAATGACGAGTGCATGATAATAATAACTAGTGTTCACTGGGCACCTCCTATGGGTCAGGCTCTGTTCTGAGGGCCTTGCATGCATGATGTCATTTTACCTTCATGAACACCCACTGAGGAGGGTACTTTACCACAGCTCAGCAGGGGGGAGGGTGAACTTTGGAGCCTAAACGCCTGAGTCTGAGCCGTTGCGGACATGACCCTGAGCCAGTTACTTAACTTCTTGGTCTGAGTTTCCCCATCTCTAAAAGGGAAAATAATAATAGTACGCACCTCAGGGGCTGCTGTGATGATTAACTGATAGATTGATACCTATGTGAGAGTGCTTAGCACAGGGCCTGGCTCTTGATAAGTGCTCAACATGTGATAGGTATTATTGTATTTACCCCCATTTTACAGATCAGGGCACTGAGGCACAGAGTCATTTGGTCGTGTACCCCAGGTCACTCAGGGAGCATGTAGTGGAGTCAAGATTGGTACCCAGGCCTGTCTGACCCAGGGCCCTTGCTCAGAAGATATTACGTGCCCAAATCAGATTATCCTCGATTCAAGGCTGCCTCTTGGCTCTGGGACTCTAGCAGTTAATTTCCTTTCTCCAGCCTCAGTTTTTCCACCTGTACAATGGGGATAGTGGTCGTTCCTGCCTCCTGGGGTGGTTGTGAGGATTAGATGAGCTAGTGCAGGTGAGGACAGAGCTTAGCACATGTGCTCAGTTAACAAGAGTGACCATGACGGCTCCTGACCATGCTTCTCTGTGCCGGCCACAATGTGGACTCTTAATACACTACATTCCACCCTCACTATAGCCCTTGGAGGGAGGAACTTGACCCCTGTTTCAGAAAGGTCACTGAGGCTCAGAGAGGGCAAGCCCCTTGCCTCAGTCCACAGAGAAGAGCTGCGGGGACTCAGAATAACACAGTGCAAATTCCTCGGCGTCAGACTTGGCCTGGGGTTCCAGGTTAGGCTTCCACGATGGCCCCCCGCTGAGCGTCCTTAGGTGGGCCTCCTCCTCTCTCAGCCTCAGCTTGTAAACTGGGGGCTGTCTTGGAAGACCCCCCCAAGTTGTATTCTGGCTCCTGCAGCCTCAGGCAGGGAACCATTCCCTCCTCCCCACCTCTCCCCAGACTGGAGCCTGGCTCAGAGGTCCTGGAAGGTCATGGAGCTGCTGCCCCCGCAGTCCTGCAAAGGCCAGCAGGGTCCAGTTACTTGCTGGGGGCGGGGAAGAATATTGTCCGAGGGTCTTGATAGATGAACTGCCTGCCCCTGCCGACAGATGAGGAAGCCTCCTGAGGATCCTGTTCCCCGGGGTCTCATTAAGCCCTAAGACTTAAATAACTGCTGACTAGTAACCTGGGGAGGGCCTCCGCATACATTCCCCTTGCTGTCCCGGCTAGTCGGGACTCCAAGTATTGCACCCCAACTTGGAAGCAAGAGGTCCCCTTTTTCGTTCCCAGGTGGGAGCAGGTGCACCCCTACTCCAGGTCACCCCAGAGGGCCCCACTGGGGGTTCAGGCTCCTGGCGCCCCTCAGCAAGCCAGGGTTGGGGGAGCTACTGGGCACTCGGGCCCGAGGTCCCTCCACCCTCTGCCACCTCCTGCCAGCCCTAAATAAGCGGGTGCTTAATTATCTGGTCACTCTATCCCTGCTCGGCCAGGCAGCTAAGCCCAAACATCTGGCCCCGGGGCCCATGGCCAGGATAGGAGGCCAGCCCCCACCTACTGCTGGCCCTGACCCTGGACACCTCCCACAGGACATCTGAGCCTGGTCCTGTGCCTGCCAGCTTGCAACAAGCCCAAAACAGTAGCTGCAGAGGCCTAGCAAGCTTGATGCAGAGAAAACATTTGACAAAATTAACACCCATTCATGGTTTACAAACAGGCACACACACGCACTCTTTGCAAAGTAGGAGCAGAGGGAACATCCTTAATCAGACAAAGGGTGGAAAGGGAGGCACAGATCTGTCATTTCCCACAGGCGATACGACTGACCACATAGAAAACCGCAAAGAATCAAGCGGACAAGTGTTTAGCATTAATGAGAGTTTAGCTGGGATGTGGGATCAATACTCTAAAATCGTGTTCTCACAATTGCTTGCACCTCAAAGTGACCCATGGACCAGAAGCGTCGGCCGCCCCTGGGAGCTGGTTAGAAAAGCGGAATTTCGGGTGCCACCCAGACCCACCGGATCAGAATCTGCGTTTTAACAAGGTCAGGGGTTAGGGGTGCAGGGTGGGGTGGTGGTGATGTGTGGGTGCTGCCCAAGTCATTTGCATGTCTGTACTTGAGCTGAACTAATGCAGAGAACAGTGTCTCTGAGGCCCTGCAAGGCTGGCGCCCTTCTGGGTCCCAGGTAAACGCTTTCCTGCAAGGAGGGTGTGGGTTGCTTGCAGCCCCACAGCTTTAACGTTCTGCGGCCATTAGTCGATCTGATGCGCGTTGTGATTTTTTCATTTTTGGGGGGTTTTTAGGCCACACTGTGTGGCATGTGGGACCTAGTACCCTAACCAAGGATCAAACCCGGGCCCCCTGCATTGGAACCACGGGACCACCAGGGAAGTCCTGTGCATCATGATTTTTGATTTTGTGTTTGCAATGGATGATTCTGTGTTTTGAGGTCGATGAGACAAGGAAGCATTCTCTGGGCGCTGGGAGCGGGGGCTCATGCAAAGCCCCACATCCCCTATAGGTTCTGGTGGCCAGACCCCTGGCTATCCAGTTTCAGGCAGGCTCCATGACCCCCTACCCCTTGAGGGTCTGGCAGTGATTATCCTGGTGCGCAGGGACCATGGCCTTCGGTGGCGAAGGGGGGGGGGGGGGCCAGGGAGGGAAAAAGCTTTTTTTTTTGCGGTACGCGGGCCTCTCACCGTTGTGGCCTCTCCCGTTGCGGAGCACAGGCTCCAGACGCGCAGGCTCAGCGGCCATGGCTCACGGGCCTAGCCGCCCCGCAGCATGTGGGATCTTCCCGGACCGGGGCACGAACCCGTGTCCCCTGCATCGGCAGGTGGACTCTCAACCACTGCGCCACCAGGGAAGCCCAAAAGCTTTTTTTTAAAAACAAGAAACCCCACGTTTTCTCTTTTAAAATATTTATTTATTTGGCTGCGCCAGGTCTTAGTCACAGCACGCGGGATCTTCATTGCAGCATGTGGACTCTTGGTTGCGGCATGCGGGATCTAGTTCCCTGACCAGGGATCCAGCCCGGGCCCCCTGCATTGGGAGCACAGAGTCTTAGCCACTGGACCACCAGGGAAGTCCCACGTTTTCATTTTGTACTGGACACCCACAAATTTTGTAACTGGTCCTGCTCGTATACTTGGGGTTCCCCAGCTGGGGTGTAGCCAGAGCTTCCTTGGTGATCACGGGCCCAGGTACACTTTGTGGGGTCGGGGGTGAGTGGGGAGTCAAGACCAAAGGCTTTGGAATCAGATTCTGCCACCTTTTGACTTTAGGGTCTTTGGAAAGTAGAGGCCTTTACAGTCTCGTCTGTAAAATGGAGAGAGACGTGAACGGGTCCTGTGTGATGAGTGGGTCCTGAATTCAGCACTATTAGAAAAAGGGCAGGATTTTTCCTTTTCCATTTTCTTTTTAATGTGAACTCAGAGGCTCAGAGAAGGAAAGGAATTTAATCAAGGTCACAGCATGAGAACCTTGGAAATGCCTGTTTTGGTTTTTTTCTTTTAAGCAGCCTCGTTGAGATGAAATTTACATGCCAATTTCACCCTTCTAAAAATTTTATTGAAATATGGTTGATTTACAGTGTGCTAATTTCAGGTGTACAGTAAAGTGATTCAGTTATACATACATCTATTCTTTCTTAGAGCATATATATATATATATATATATATATTCTTTTTTAGATTCTTTTCCATTATAGGTTGTTACAAGATACTGAGTATAGTTCACTGTGCTATACAGTAGGTCCTTGTTGTTTATCTATTTTATATATAGTGGTGTGTATATTTTAACCCCAAACTCCTAATTTATCCCTCCCTCCCCCCTTTCCCCTTTGGTAATCGTAAGTTTGCTTTCTAAGTCTGAGTGTATTTCTGTTTCATAAATAAGTTCATTTTATCATTTTTTTAGATTCCATGTATGTGATATCATATGATATTTGTTTTTCTCTGACTTCACTTAGTATGATAATCTCTAGGTCCACCCCAAATTCACCCTTTTTACATGTACAATTCAATGACTTTTAACATATTCAGAGAATTGTGCAACATTTAGCACAATCTAATTTTAGAGCTTTTCCACCACTATCGCCACCCCTAAAAAGCAAGCCTGTACCCATGAGCAGTCAGTCACTCCCCATGTCCCCTGGCAATCACTAATCTTTCTTCCTCTGTGGATACACAGAATCCTACAGTAGGTCATCTTCTGTGACTGGCTCTGTGTTTTTGAGGTTCATCCATGATGTAGCATGTGTCAGTGCTTCCTTCCTTTTTATGGCTGAGTAATACTCCACTGGATGGATAGACCACGTTTCTTTTTTTTTTTTCTGCACCACGCGACTTATGAAACCTTAGTGGGTCGGGGGTGAGTGGGGAGTCAAGACCAAAGGCTTTGGAATCAGATTCTGCCACCTTTTGACTTTAGGGTCTTTGGAAAGTAGAGGCCTTTACAGTCTCGTCTGTAAAATGGAGAGAGACGTGAACGGGTCCTGTGTGATGAGTGGGTCCTGAATTCAGCACTATTAGAAAAAGGGCAGGATTTTTCCTTTTCCATTTTCTTTTTAATGTGAACTCAGAGGCTCAGAGAAGGAAAGGAATTTAATCAAGGTCACAGCATGAGAACCTTGGAAATGCCTGTTTTGGTTTTTTTCTTTTAAGCAGCCTCGTTGAGATGAAATTTACATGCCAATTTCACCCTTCTAAAAATTTTATTGAAATATGGTTGATTTACAGTGTGCTAATTTCAGGTGTACAGTAAAGTGATTCAGTTATACATACATCTATTCTTTCTTAGAGCATATATATATATATATATATATATATTCTTTTTTAGATTCTTTTCCATTATAGGTTGTTACAAGATACTGAGTATAGTTCACTGTGCTATACAGTAGGTCCTTGTTGTTTATCTATTTTATATATAGTGGTGTGTATATTTTAACCCCAAACTCCTAATTTATCCCTCCCTCCCCCCTTTCCCCTTTGGTAATCGTAAGTTTGCTTTCTAAGTCTGAGTGTATTTCTGTTTCATAAATAAGTTCATTTTATCATTTTTTTAGATTCCATGTATGTGATATCATATGATATTTGTTTTTCTCTGACTTCACTTAGTATGATAATCTCTAGGTCCACCCCAAATTCACCCTTTTTACATGTACAATTCAATGACTTTTAACATATTCAGAGAATTGTGCAACATTTAGCACAATCTAATTTTAGAGCTTTTCCACCACTATCGCCACCCCTAAAAAGCAAGCCTGTACCCATGAGCAGTCAGTCACTCCCCATGTCCCCTGGCAATCACTAATCTTTCTTCCTCTGTGGATACACAGAATCCTACAGTAGGTCATCTTCTGTGACTGGCTCTGTGTTTTTGAGGTTCATCCATGATGTAGCATGTGTCAGTGCTTCCTTCCTTTTTATGGCTGAGTAATACTCCACTGGATGGATAGACCACGTTTCTTTTTTTTTTTTCTGCACCACGCGACTTATGAAACCTTAGTTCCCCAACCAGGGATTGAACCTGGGCCCTCAGCAGTGAAAGCGTGGAGTCCTAACCACTGGACAGCCAGGGAATTCCCTAGGCCACATTTCTTTTATCCCTTTGTTAGTGGCTTGACATTTGGGTTGTTTCCACTCTCGCTATTGTGAGCAATGTTGCCGTGAACATTTGTGTGGAGGCATGTTTTTATTTCTCATGGGCATTTACCTAGGAGCAGAATTGCTGGGCCATATCGTAGCTCCGTGGTTAATTAACATTTTGAGGAACTGCCAGGCGGTCTTCCAAAGCAACTGCCCCATCTTTTACATTCTACCAGCCCCATAGGAGGGCTCCAACTTCTCCACCTCCTGGCCAGCACGTTACTGTCTGTCTTTCCACTACGGCCCTTGCCTGGATCCAAAAGCTTTTCGACCTTCCTTTCCATGTAGGTGTCCCAACTCGCATCTCCTCCAAGGGAGGGGTGGCCACCTCAGCAACACACACCCACATACTCACACTCATCCTTACTCTGTCACACTCACATCCACACTCACACACGTGTGCTCAGGCCCCCAGTCCCCTCAAGACCCCTCCCCCAGGTCCTGATGGCCACAGGACACTCCTACAGTTCAAGAGCATGGAGCTTGGGACTCCCCTGGCGGTCCAGCAGTTAAGACTCTGCACTTCCAATGCAGGGGGTGCAGGTTCGATCTCTGGTCGGGGAATGAAGATCGAGCATGGACCTTGGACAGTTGAAGAGCTGGCCTGCATTTGAATCCTCCCTCTGCCCAACGTTCTGTGTGACCTCAGGCAGGCACCTCGGCTGCTCTGGACCACCTGTGTCCACCCCTGAAGTGGGGAGGATCTAAGGGACCCCTTTCAGCGAGTTCAGGACGTGCCACCTGCTGGGAGCTGCTTGAGGGGTAAGCGGCTTCATTCGAGTAAAGTATTACGATTAGTATTATGTGTCTTGTAATTAAGTAACGCTAAATTAGCACCACCCCATCCACTCCTGTCTCTTCCTCCAGCCCTCCTGCGGGGGCCCATCGCTGGGTCATTATCCCCTCCCAGTGTATCCCCAGCTGATGCCACCAATTAACACCCGCCGTGCCCCCCCCAGACCCTGCTCCTCTCCACTCCCCTGTCCCTCAGCCCCACCCCACCCCCCAGCCACCTCCAGCTTTTTTGGGACACATTCTTGGCCTAATTGCTTGGGTTATTTCAGATTCACGGGTGAGGTGGCAGGAGGTCCCGCTCGTGCTCCCCCTACTGCACCCACCATCTTATTCTCCCCCTACTCCAGGAAGCTCACCTTGATTGCCCGGGACAGGGGCCCATGTCCCCAGGTCTCTGGACTGAACTTAGATGGAAAGGATCCTTGGGGTCACTCCACACAGGCTGCCTCCACCACAACCCTCCCCTCCAGGCAACACCTTGGTGGCCACAGCAGGGGCCCTGGGGGGTGCAGGGCCAGGGAGAGGATGACATATGATCCAGCCCTGAGTTGTAGCCATTCTCTAGGCGGGCAGCCAAGGAGGGCACAGAGAGGAAGAGAGAGTGTTTCCAAACAGGGCGGCTGCCAAGAAGGGGCCAGGGTGACGGGTGGTGGGGGCGGGTGGGTGTGAAGGAGCGGAGGGCCCAGCTGATGACTGGCAGCCGCGCCTGTGACTTGTCTTCCCCCTGCTACACACACACCCCCCCCACACACACACCCCACACACACATGCAGGCCCAAGGCCTCACAGACACGCAGACATCTCACTGCACACAGTGAGATGCACGCAGACTTCTATTTTCTCCCCTCACCCAGGCAGTCACACGATTACATGAGCACACGGGGGCTCAGATGCTTGTAGACACACGAAACCCATGCACTGGTGTCATCTGCATAGGGAGAGACACATTCAAACCCTCATGTCTCTCTCTCTCTCACACACACACACAAACACCATTATTTACACACACACGTGGGCTCAGACACTCATGGACACACAAATACCCAGAAATACATGCTCAAGTTCCTACCCACCTGAGAACAGCTGGACACTTTCCAGCTCTGGTGGCTAATCCCTCTCATCACACATGTGTGCAGGGTAGGTGCAAACAGTGCTGACACACTCACTCCCGGGCACACCACAAACGCACACGCGGAGCCAGCACCTCGGAGGAGCACCCGGTGGGACCACTGTCTGCCTTTCTTTCTGCCTCTGTCTGTCTCTCCGTTTCTCTCTGTCTGTGTCTCTCCTCCACAACATGCCCTGCAGGGCACACAGGCACGCGCACGCCGGCCTTCTCTTTCCCACACTGCCAGACCGACAGCGTCACGGGGACCTAAGTGCCAGATGGACTTTATTTGCAGAGAGCGGTTGGGGTGACAGAGAAGACAAAGCACATTATCGAGAGGGCATGGGCCCAGCATGTGGGGAGGAAGAGGGAGTTTAGGCAGGGAGCGGAACCCAGCAAAACAGAAAAGACAAGGGCAGGAAGACAGGCGTACGCGGAGGGAGGCCGTGCAAGACTGGGGGGGGGGGGGGCCGGTTTCTGGATAAGGATCTGGGGACCCCCA